CTGTTAAAGCTCGTAATGTCTTATAAATTTAAGCCACGTTACTCAGGCAGAAATTCCAGCTGTTAAAACATAGATAATGGAAAGCCAGTGTAAGTCATGACCAACATTCTCAATAGGGTTAAACACCAGCATTACACATCACTTGAACCATAAACTGGATTGCTTTGGGGTCATTGACAATGTCATCATGCCTCAAGATTTCTGGTTGGTTTGGTTGCTAAATTTCACTTCATGGAAGAAAAATCACATTACTCGCTTTTCAGTATTTTATTGGATTGTGCACTAAATTATATACTGCATTTAAGATCACAATGAACTTTCAAAATAATGTGAGAAACATTATTCTTGAATTTGTAGTTAATTCTGAAGTTATCTGGATCTATGCAAAATAAAGCAATTAAAGTTTGGAATTTGCCTGCTTTCCATCATAGTATCAGCACTACTCAGTATGGTACTTTCCTTGTATTCCTTTTTAACAATTTTCAAACCTCAGTTGTATAAAATTGTAAAAATAATATATTGAGTCCTGAAGTTTAAGATGAATTGGATCAGTGTATCTTTCTGTCATATGTAGCTTAACGAGGTAAAGAAAGCTTCTGTTCTAAAATCTTGGAACAAAAGCTCAATGAAATTATTAAAAACTGCTATCAACTTAGTTGTTTGAAGACAATTAAGAACTCAATCTTTACTCTAAATTCAGTATTAAAGTTTCATTGCCATATACCACAGAATACCTTTTTCTCATGGAAAAAAAAAATCAGTCATATGGGAAAAAGAAAGCCTTAACTAACAAATGACTGTACCTCTCTGTCTCACCTCCATATTATGTCCATTACATGATGCCATTAATAAGGCCTTGGGGACAAAATAAATCATCTTTATAATTCCTCAACATTTTCTTTTTAATAACTACCATGAGAAATTAAATTATGTTATATTCATCCTAAACTTTAATATATTAATCCTGGCAAGAGTCCATCATAAATTGTAAAAGTATATATAAAAATATATTATCTTCAGTGACTAGCTGGGGAAATTAAGAACATATTACTCTTCCTTTAGTTGTTGTAGCAACTTAGTAAGTTTTACTAAGCCCAATGACACTCAGAATATAGAGACAATGGAACCATGATGTTGCTATAGAGGCAGCCCCAAGAAAGCTTACACAGCGTATCACGGCAGAATAATCTGCATAGATTGTCTAGTTCAAATCAAAATACCTGGCCACAGCTATGTCTTGTGAGTTGTTTGAGATCCATCAGTAAATAGTCAAGGGTCATGCAAGAAAGGAGATAAGAAAACAATTCGTTTCTATAAAGGTAGTATTTGTTTAAATGACATAAACAGTTGTGGATTTATGTGCCAGGTATTTTTTTGATGCAGGCGATCAAAGATAAATGTCGCATGGGCATTTCTTCAAGGAAACCCCACAAACCAGTAAGGAAGAGAGTCAAACAAGCAGACAATTATAATACAGAGAAGCAAATGATATAAAAGAGGGTTTCATATGATGCTATGGGGAGACAAAAAGGGAGAGGAATCCATACTAGATCAGGCAAAGGGGTCACATCACGCCTACTGCCAATAATAAAGTCTGTGCTTAATTTTTAATATTATAAGGTCATTATTCTAAACACATTGATGGACCCAAGTAAGAGGTATTCAAAAACCTTCAAGTAGTTCAGAATAGCTGGTACAAAGACAGCAAGAGCAGCAATTTACAGATAAAGAAGTCCTGCCCTGACAGGTTGGCTCAGTTTTTTGGAGAATCATCCTGTACACCAAACAGGTTGCAGTTTTGATTCCCTCACAGGGCACATACCTAAGCTGCAGGTTTGATCCCCAGTGGGGGTACATACAGAAGGTAACCAATCAATCTCTCTCTCTCTCTCTTTCTTTCTCCATTCCTCTCTCTCTAAAACCAATAAAAATATGTCCTCAGGTGAGGATTAAAGGAAGAAAAAAATAAGATCTATGTTTAAAGTCTTTTATATAAAATCCTAAAGACTTTGGAATTTGTTCTGTGGAGGCTATGGGAAATCAATTAAAGATTTTAAAGCAGAGAAATGATAAGAGCAAATTCATATTTCTGAAAGAACTCTGGCAGCAGTGTGGAGAATGAATGATTTTTTGAGACAATTTTAGGCATTAAACAAGTAAGTGAGAGGCAGTTACTTGAAATCTTCTGGAGGTGGGTGGGAAGGGTTCAGCCTAGGGGTACCCAGGTTTGGCCTGAGGCATGGCTCTCTGAGAATATGTAAGTATTCAATATTCAATGCTCTGTATTCTCAGCATCAAAGTTGAGGTTTCGTAAAAGAGTAATTATTTTTACAGACTCAAATAGATTTATATTACAGGGAATCGTGCCTCATACATAACTAAAAATTCTGTGATTATTAAGGGTTGATTTAATGGTTTTCAAAATGTTAGCTTTATAGGCCTTGTGAATAGTTTCCTGTTGATTCGGCTGATTTCTCTTGAAAGTTGAAGACACTGATGTGTCGGATAGTTGAAACTTCAGACACAAGCTGAAACTCACAAATCAACAACAGGCTCAGGATCCTAGATTATGCTTTATATTTATGAAAAACTATGACTTTTCTAAGAAATGATGACTTCATTTACTTCATCTAACTCCATAGTTCTTCAAAATCTGAGATTCTCTTGATCTTAGAATCCTTACAGTTTGCATTTTCTGTTTCACACACTTGACAGTTTAAATCTAAGTGAATGTGTATCGTACTTGAATAAGTAAGAAATGGACTTGTTTTTCTTTTGCAATCTCAATTTTAGTGTTTGAGGTGTCTAATTATATATATTAGATAAACCCACTTTATCAGTCATTAGAGATCAAAAGTTGATTATCACAAAATGTTGAAGCTATAGACAGTTTTAATTTAAGAAAGCAGTTCTACTAAGAGAGCAGATTCTAAAAGTTCTCATCACAAGAAAAAAAATTTTGTTACTATGTATGGTGATGGATGTTGACTTATTGCGATAACCATTTTCTGACATATGTGGGTATTAAATCATGATGTTTTACACCTGAAACTAAGGTTACATGTCAATTATACCACAATTTAAAAAATAAACTAAAAATTAGAAGAAAAAAAAATTAAACAGTACAAAAGTGCGCAGTGAAAAATATATCCCTCCTCCCTCTGCCAATAAGGGGAAAAAAGCAATTAAGTATATCCATTCAACAGCTTTACATCCAAATGTTTGGACACTTGATTATATTAGAACATATGTAATATGTATACCCTACTTATTTTTCCAAATTTTTATGTAGTGACAGTGACTAAAGGGGCAAGCAGGTGTTATATTCACAGACTTCATTACTTCCTCCCCTGTGTAATGCTATGGATCTGTGTCACAAATTTAGATGAAACTGCTTGGGCATAAGTATTAGCTGGGCTGACCAAAAATTATAACTCATTTAAACAATAGTTTTCTTGTCATGTCATTGCAAATGTTTTATCTGTGGAAAGTGAACACACAAATGTCTCAAATGATTTATTGGGATCCCTACTTTCTACTAATTGTGTAAAGTGTCTAAATAGGTAAAAAAAAAAAAAAAATTAGCTTAAAATATCAGTTTAGTTACACTCTGGGTCAGGAGAACATATTTGTTCTATAGGTTATGGTTCAATTCCAAGGATCTGACTGGAGGCTTGCAGGGGTCAGGTGAACTCTGCATTTACCAGAAAGATTTTGGAAAGGCAGAAACAGAAGGGTGACTTTAGGATATCATAGAGAGAAAGAGGAAAGTACGTCCAGTAAGAATGGCAACGTAAGGACAGAAACGATAAAGTGGAGTAATTAGGTGGCTAGGAAAGTCAAGATCAAGTTTGTGAGAAGTGCATGCAATTCCTGGCGGTTACTCAGGACTCTAGGATTGTTTATAGGTTCATGATTCACATATGGGAAGACTCATATATGCCACAATGGGCAGGGTCAGCAAAACTCTATTACAAAGTGCAATTAGCCTTTGAACAACGCAGGCTTGAACTGCATGGGTCCACCTATACATGGATTTTTTTTTTTTTTTAAATCAAGCATCAGCTGTATTTTTAATTTGTGGTTGGGAATCTGTGGATGCAGAGGACTGGCTCTAGTTCTACGCAGATTTTCAACTGCAGGGAGGTAGGGAGGTAGGTGCCAAATACAATTTTTTTCTACTAGGTTTTCAATATTAAAGTTTATTGTCACTTTTCCAGGCTAAATTTTTTTTATCCAAACTATCTATAGCACAATTAATGAAGATTAATTATTAAAAAATTTGCTAATGAAAATTTTGAAATCCAAGAACATTCTAAGAAAATTTCTGTGGTTGTGTGCTTGCAATAGGAACCAATAAAGTGGTAGTTTTTCATGGAAATATTTATTTCAATACCTCATTTGTGTAAAGCTAGACTGAATTATTGCTCATAGTATGACATTTATTTACACATATTCAAGCAATTATGCAGTAATCATTCTCTGAATTATTAAATATTAGATGTCTATACAAAGAATATGTGATGAAGAAGACAAGTGATTGGAAATAAATATTTCAGATTATTGATGGAAAATGTTATTGTTTTCTTTTAGACTTTTCAAAAGAATCAATAGTGGTCTTGTGGAATAAAAGCCCATTTTCACGTTTATCACTGAATCTTCTTTTTAGTACCCTTTTTTCAGCAGATTTTCATTCCTTTGGAATATTTGACTGACACATCTCAGAATAACTAATACTGTCTGATCAAGTGGTAAAAATCGCAAATTTCATTCATTTCATCACCTGCCTACTTTTTAGGAGGAGCAAGAAAAACCATATTTGTCTGCGAAACCCATACATTTATTTATAAAACCCAGCTTGTTCCTAAATAACTTGATGTTACTCTCCAGTGCCCTATTTACAGTACCCGTTTTGTATATAATTAAGGTTAATATATTTATTCAAGCAATTTTTATTAAAGTTGGTACAAACATAATGGTGTTTTTGGTTTTCTTTCAAGGATCCCCTGTTTCACCTGGAGTCACACAGGTCTGAGAAAGGAAGGGGCAGGTGTCCCTTTGATCCCAACTCCTCCTTCATCTCCACATTAATTGGTAATTATTGCTGCTGCAGATATCAGGTGGTAGTCGTATCGATTTTGAAACTTCAGTTCTATTCTTTAGGTATTTCCTGATATATGTTGCCTTGTCATATCTATCTGTTTGTACTGGGAGCAATGATATTAAATTTCAAGCCATGCTAACTTGAGCCAATTTGACTGTAAAATAAGTGCAACTGCTTTTAAGTATGTGTGTCTCATTCTGAAAAGACGAATTGTCACTTAACACCTGATATAGGACATTTTGTATTATGCCATTTATTGTTCAAAAATTCAATTATATGAATATTTTATAAAGATTGAGCTAGAGAAACTAAACTATTTTAGCATACGTTAATCCTTTATGTTTTAGTTACTCTATGATTTTACGGGAACTTTTAATATTCTTTTCTTGGTGCCTTTCTGTGTATCAGTAGAATTCAACAGAAAGTCTTCCTAATTGAAAACTTCAGTTATTTATATATATATATATTCCTGCTAACCTAGAATGTAAACTATAGAAGTTGACCGGCTCAACTGACCACTAACTGCCCACACTGGAATAATAGAATAAGCTGGCATGTCTGTAGATTTCAGTTTGATTCAATTTAATTAGATGAAGTACCTAAGGACCTTACTTAATACACAGAAAAATACTTTTTTTCTCCTTTATACTATTTGGGTTTTAAATGGCCCATTTGTTCAAGTACTCCAGCGCTGTGATGGTACAGACAGATGGCCGAGTTCCCAAATGTAGGTCTGGAGAGGGTGATCCCTGGTAATTAACTTAGGTGCTATTAGGAATCATCAGTGTGGAGAGGTTCTGATGTAGGTATAGTATGATGTACACATTTCTGTTATGTCATTTGCAACACTTAGAGTTACATACTAACGTAAGGCCTGCCTGTTTACAGAAAATGGGACTGTGTAAAAAAGCATGTAGAGACTTCCTATTTTAAATAAATGGTAAAACTTAATACTTCCCACTGACAATTAAGCAAAATATCTTCTGCTTGATTTAGAGCTGGTATAGATGTGTCTGTGTATTCTAGACTATGTGGTCACTGAACTTATTCCAGACAATTGATTTTGATGGGTTTTATATCTCACTCCCTACACTCCCCCATCTTACATTGAGTTTAATTAAGAGGGAAGTTTCTTTATTTCAGCTTTACAATTTGGAAGAGCTGTAAGATGAGAATTTTACGTAGGAATTGTTTGTCATGGGCTTGAATAAGCAGATGTGATGTTTTAAAGAATATAAAATAGTAAAGAATATTTTTAAGATCTATCGAGTTCCTCTATTAACCTCTGTGTGTGTGTACACGTGTGCATGTATGTGTGCAAACAGAATATTGAGGAGGGAGGTCGTTAATATGGAAGAGTGTTGCCTACATCAACTTAGACTAAGCAGGAATCAACACCATAGGGATGTGAATGCAAGATTCATAAATATTAGAAATTCCTAGTCGATTGGCAGCATATCATTAATTTACATGCATTTGATAGACTCGTACAGTTTTTTCCTAATGTTTTATTAATTTTCGGTTGCAGATATTTAATATTTGAATATGTCTGAACGAGAGACACTTGCTATCACGTTTCTTATCCATACAATGTCTTGTACAGAAAAGGCCTCTTATAAATATCGACTGAATGGAATACTCAGTAAGCGAACAAACAAAATAAATTTGGGGATATTATTTATAAGAATGTTGCAAATGGTATCGAAAGTCAAAAGTCACACAGTAATTGTATAGGGAAATCCTAAGAAGATTAGAACATCATTTATTTTTAACATTTTATTTAAATTAGTAAAAGTAATTTCTTTTGCCACCCTGCCACTCACAATTCAGACTCCCTGGAGCTTGCTTATGCATGAAACCAGAAATTTAAAACTGAATTTTTTAAGAGGGGAAATATTACTGGAGGGACATTTCCAAATGAGTTTCATTGAACCTCCAAATCAAATTACACTCTGCTGAAATGTGAAGTGCTGGCCGTCTGGGTGGCTGTTTCACTTATTCAGGAGAGAAATCAAATCATAAGGGCTCCAAGCTAAACACGAGGGTTATAGAATGAAACCCCCAAAGAGAAGAAATAAAAATATAATTCTTCACATTTATCCACTAGCTTTCATCCCAGAGTACCTTTGAGAGATCATTCACTCACTGTGGAAACGCAGCAGCCACAGGGATGGAAACCTGATAACCTATGTCAGCCGGCAACTCTTTAAAAAGGGAACAAGTAGAAATAACTTACCCAACTGAAAGAGCAGCAGGAATTTGGGCTGAAAAAAAATGGAGCTACCTGAGTTGGAATTTGGCAAGCTCAAGGTAGCTTACTCTGACAGGGAAAGAATGCAATAATGGGGTGTTTTCTGACCACACATGTTCTCTGCCGAGGGTTAGGACAGGACTCCAGCAAAAAGGGGACCATCTTTAGGCTGTTCCTCCTCCTTGGTTTCTCTCTTAATCATAGGTCACACTTAACATTTGATGCCTGCTCACCTTAAGGTGCACTTTTATGATAAGAAAAGAGAAAACTGGAGTTTGTAACAAAACTCATAAAACTAACAAGACTCAAAGAAAAAAAAAATGTGCTCGAAAATCAGAGACTTTCTTATAATTTCTTAGCCTTAGATACAGTTTTTATTTCACTTACCTTACATTCCATTGGCATGGAGTGAAAGCTTGCTGTAAAATGGAATAAAGAATGAAGATTATTTGCTAGGTGAAATACAAGTTAACGAATACCTTTTTATTGAACAGGTGATTTAATTTACTAACAAAGTGTTAATAACATGATTCTATGTGAAACAGAAGTTAGAGAATAAAACAGCTCCTTATTGAGCTATGTTCTGTATGTTCAGAAACCAATCAAAGTGAAATCACCTATTAATTAGGCTTACTCTTCAAAAGTCACTCGGTATTAACATAATTTATTTTGGTGGCATGTAAGTTCATATCTCAGGAGTAATAATTCTACATATTTAACCACATTTGCCCCCTGCTGTGATTACTACTATTATATTTAAAGTAGGTTTAAGTATACAAGACATTACAACCTGGTTTGAAAAAGATTGCTGAAACAATGAATAGTTAGTAAATAAGATGCTACATTACTTGCCTATACCTTTCAAGTCATCCAAAGATACTTAGTATTTAACTTGCCACTAAATTGGTAGGTTTGGTGACTGGCAAAATAAAAATTTAGGACACATTTTCTATATATTTTTTGTCATTTGGGCCGGGAGGAGAAACAATAGCTCTTTTTCATAAGTTATATATAATGTATTGTTGCAATATCCTCCTTATTAAGTTGCTACCACCTTCAGTAACTTCATGATTTCCCTTACACTTCGCCTTCTCAGCTCTGTTGCCATGTTTTTAGCACATTTCATTCTGGGCTAGATTTGTATTATCAGCTCCAGGTGTAACAATACCTACCATCCCTGAAGCGCCTAAGGTATACTAACATTCATGTTACATGTTTCTAGTTTTAGGGAGTAAAACTGCTCTAATTTGTTGTGTGCCTTTTAACATTTTNAGGGAGTAAAACTGCTCTAATTTGTCGTGTACCTTTTAACTTTGAAAGTGCGAGCTTTGCGGTTGGGATATTTTTAAGATACCTCTTAAAGACTTACTAAAAATTATTTCAACAAATAACCACAAATAAGATATTCTACAGTCACTAATTTTTTTATGCTTTTTTTTTTGGTGTGTACCATATTACTTTTTTTCAGTAAATAAATCCACAAAAATTTACGGCCACGGAAATTTTTTTCCTGCACTCTTATGTGTAATAATGAGACCTTTGTAGTCACTATGTCTCCTCATTACCAATTCTGTGAATTGAAGGTCAATGTTGATTGAATGAGAGGGAGTTGGAATACAAGCAGGCAAAATTGAAGTGATTATTTTGAGCTCTTAATAACATTAAAACTTTTTAAATTAATAAATATTTCTTTGAAATCAGCTCCGGGCAGAGTTATCAATGAATAGTTTTCCCACAAAATAGGACTTAATAGTATAGAAATATAAATTTAAAAATCTAAATGAAGGTAAAATATGCCTTCATAATTACAACCCCCACAAATGTAACAAGTGAATGTGCTGGCTTGTTTCTTGAATTCATCTCAACTCTCTAGTAACTTAGACTTCAAGCTATTCCCTTACCTTGTTTCTGTGCCTAAAGAATATCTATAATTTCTTATCGAAAACTGCTGCTCTCTCACATTTGGCAGAATGCCAGTTATCCACATGCTTACTGTTGCTTCTGACCAGAACTGTGAGTCTCGAAGGAGCTATTTGAATACTTTGCTTAAAGTTTCTTCAAAACATAATAAAAAGTTAGAAAGAAAAAAGTCCTACTCTTCAATTCCCCATTGACATTCCCTCCCTTAGGAACCTGATTTGACCATGTCGGTATCCATGTCACTGGTTTGCCCCCAAGAAAACTGAGTCCCGCCTTGGGTGGCAGCAGATGCAAAGGAACAGGCTCAGAAAGCACCTTCTGGACGCTGATGGTACCAGCTCTCTGCCAAAACGACACAAACAGAAGCCCAGACAACTGCGTAACTAAAAGCAAAGCGAAAGGCGTCCTTCCCACTTTCTCCAGCTTTCTAAGCGATATGTGCTGGGGGCTGGGACCATGGGTTTTATGCGTCATTTTGATCCACCTTTGTCTTCCCAAGTGCATTTTGTTTCTATTTGCAGTGATGCCTGTCACAGTCATTCTGCAAAACAGTGCATCTGAAGTAGAATAATTTTCTAACAGAGTTATACAGCTCAGTTATGAAATGAGGCCTTTAAATCGATCTTTAACTGTGTGCTTTCCATGAGGCAGGCATATTTCACATCAGATTTGGAGACATTTACAGCCTAAAGAGAAGTGCTTAAGTAAACCATAAGGAGATAAGCAGGGCATGAAAAACTACTCTGAATTTTTCGCACTAAACCGTTGAGATCTGTATGCCCAACGGTGAATAAAATCTCCAATTGATTAATAAAATGT